GCACACAAGTATTACAAAGCAACATGGCATTCGGCCCTAGTTCTTTTATTCCATTTATGGCCACTAGAGACAACCCAACACAAGTTGGTTCCAAATGCATTTGAGCGCTGCATGCGGCACAAGTGTATGTTTTCTCGTTGCCGGCAAAGCCTCTTTTACATGTTTTGCAGTTTTTGCCCATTTTTGCTTATACTATGGCTAGAAAAACAGTTAAACCTGGTGGTTCCCGAAAAGGGGAGGCCTGTGGCTCACTCAGGGGAAAAAGAAAAAATAGACAAACCTGGTGGTTCCCGAAAAGGGGAGGCCTGCGGTTCACTATTTCTACTTACGTTAATAGGGGCACTGACAGTTCTTGAAACGACACTCGTAATATACCAGATGTCCTTCTGTATTGCAGATGTTCGAATGTTTATCGTATAAGATTTTATTCTTGAGAATACTTTTAATGCCCTTCAGACCTTCTTCACTGAGGTGCACTTCGTCAGTTTTCAAATGATATGAGCTGTGGATTTTTTCACTCACTCCTCTAAACTTCCAAGTTCCTTTTATCTTTCTTATGAATTCGTTTATTTTTGCAGATCGAGCTCGGTTCTCACTACGATGAGGGATTCCGATGACGAAAACTTTTTTGGCTCGTTCACACAGCTCCTCGGCTAGCTTCGACAGTTCTTCAGCAATGTCGGCTGCAGGTATACTGGAGGGGTCTTTTCCGTTGAAGGCGTCGTTTCCGCCGATGAGCAGAGCGATGATGTTGAATTTGTCTTTCTCGGGTAAGAAGTTTTGGACCGCACTAATCCGGGCCCCAGGTAGGGACAAGATATTGAAATTTGGAAAATCAAGATGGCGTGCTTGAGAATCCGCAATCAGGAGATTTTTTGAAGATGATGTCTTGAGCAAGTGATATCTTCTGTCGGACATTTTATCGCGGGGCAACCATTGCTACCCCGGTAAACATTTCAAGTATCTGAAACTATTTAATACTTTGACTGAAGGCGAAACAATTTCATTTGATAAACGTCAAATAACTTTAGTCCTTATCTTTTTCACTATCTCGACCTATTGAGATACTTTTGGGATACAAAGGACAAAAATTGTGTAGGAACTGCCGAACGTTTTTTTTCTAGCTTTCGTGTACATTCAGAATAACTGCATGGCTGGGGCTCGATTTCCCTAGACCACTTGGTTTTCTACTAAAAACAGACTGAATAGCATCATTACGATTGCGATAGTAAGTGTCTTGTAATCAGGAACTAGACTTTGTTTTTCCCCTAAACAAAATATCTTACAAATGTTACTTGCTTTTTTGACTTGTTCATTTTTAAAGCTCAAGAATTTAGTTTAATGCTCGGTTTGTGCATTGATGTAAAATTAATGAAGCAAAAGCGTGAGGTTCGCAAAATTCTATTTTTAAAATATGTTTTCTGTTGAAAAAAGTGACCTGTTGATTATTGAAGCCTAAAAATTTCTAAGTTAGATTGCTATTGGTTTTGAGTTAACGTTGTTGCCTTTGCTCTCTAATTGGCGGACCTTCGTTTGTCCTCTCAATTCCAGTCAGCTCAATTGCTTTATTGTGGATTTTGCCTGTGCTGTAAGCAATTATCAATGTAGTTGCAAGTACACGTGTTCAAGGTAGTTTCAGGGGGGCTTGAAAATTTAGAAAAGAATATATTTATTTAATTTTTTTTTCGGCAATACGGATTTTTCTTATTCTGTAACAAAACTCTCATTGAATACAGTGCAAGTACATGAAAATATTTTTAAACAATTGCAAGTGTTGTTCAATGTAATGTTTGTGGGGACTTGAATATTTAAAAATTTTTCCAAAAAAAGCTCCCCTCGTAAATTTTGTTCTGCTGTTATTTTAATCTTCATTGATCCAAATCAAATTCTTCAGAAGAAAGAAAAACAAATTCTTGCAACTTTTTAATTTGTTTCAGATTAAAATTGCAGATACTTTGGATTGAATAGCCCTTTCTAAGAAGGGATTTCAGAGGCCGGCATTTGTGTTTTTTTTGTATGAGAGCAAGCTTACTGAAAGGCACAGTCAAGTCTTTTCGTATTTTGATATGCGAGAGTTACTAAGACGAAAATTGGCCTTAGCTTCAACGCCAACCAAGAACTTCCTTAAAATCCCTCAGAACCTGCTGGTAAGCGGGTAAACGGGAGACGTGAAAAAATTAGAAAGATTACTATCGGAAGAACTAGCACGACGTCATTAATAACTCAATAAAGAGACATCAAAATATCATTTTGCTCCCTATATAAGCTGAAAATATTCTCTGTCGGTTTGAAGAAACAATAAAAAAACTTCAAAGAAGGAGAGACTACGTAGACAGAAACAACCGTTTTCAAATTTTCTCTAATTTTTGCAACTAAATCTGGTGCCTTCTAAATCCCTTATTTGTAAAATGGGCTGAATTGTGCGTGGATTCTATTTTGCGAGGAAACAGAAACCAACACCATATTTGAATTTATATTTTGCTGCTAAATCAAACCAATTTTTAAACTCTGTTTGCTGCAACTCCAAATTTTGTCAAGTCAAGTTTTTTTATGACCGTTAGGCAGTGCCTCTTGTGGTCATTTCAAATGTTCTTTCCTATCTCCGTTCGAATTCGTACATGTCAATTCCAATCGCTTTCCAATGTTTGTCCAGTTTCCACTTGAATTCGTCGATGGTCTTGCTTTGCACTGTTTCCTGTGGCAGATTAATCCAGTCGAGAGGTGCTCTTACCGTGAAGAAATTTTTTCGCATTTCTAGATTTGCTTTACGTACTACTACTTTACATGCGTTACCTCTAGAATCCCTATCATTCCGCTCGAATAGTCCCGCAGTGGCATTCCTATCATAAAAACCCTAGCAGATTTTATACATTTCTATCATTGTCCCTCTTTTCCTTCTGTATTCCAGCGATGATATATTCAGTTCTTTAAGGCGTTCGTAATAGGATAGATTTTTTATACCACTAACTAGACGCTTTGCTCTTCTTTGTACGTTTTCCAAGATCTTTTGATACTTGATCAACCTTGGGTGCCAGATTAAGTTCGCAAATTCGAGGTGTGGCCGTATCAAGCATTTGTAGATGTTTAAAAATACTTGTTTCGTGACTTTAGTGAAGCTTTTCTTAATTACTGCTATCATGCCGTTTGGCTTATTGGCTTTTTTAGTGATGTGTGTTTCGAATGTCAGTTTGTTGTCAAGCCAGATACCCAGGTCTTTTTCGAGTTGCACTTCTTAAATGTTTTCGCCATTGATTTTATAGTTCCTCTCCTTATCCAATTTCTTGGTTCCTATTGTCATATGAACACATTTGTCGATATTAACAGACAAAAGACTTTGGCCAAACCAAGTTTCTAGTGACTGTAAATCTTCATGTTTGCGTTTATCCGATTTGTCTTCAATTTGACGGTATAGTTTCGCATCGTCAGCAAATAGATATATTTTTGTCGCTATTTTGTCCGGCATTGTGTTGATGTATATTAAAAACAGTACAGGGCGGAGTACTGAACCCTGGGGTATCCCACTTTTTACTGGCTACCATGAGGATCTTGAATCGTTAATTACCACTCTCTGTTGTCGTCCCGAAAGAAAGTCTGTTACCCAGTTCAAGGTTCTTCCAATTACTCCATACTGTCTAAGAACTCCGATCAGTCTTTTGCGTGGTACCGAATCGAAGGCTTTCTTGAAGTCTAAGTATATCACGTCGACAATTTCATGTTTGTCTATTGCCCTGGTGAAGTCATCAATTACTTCCAGGCCAGGAGTTGTAAGTTCAGTGAACGTTCAGATCGAAAACCGTATTGTGCATTTGTTATTAGCCCTTCTTCATTGAAATGATCCATTAAATGCTTTCGAACAACTTGCAACATATTGATGTTAAACTGATTGGTCTGTAGTTATCTGCCATCGATTTTTTTTTACCTTTTTTTGAATATTGCAGAAAAGTTAGCCAACTTCCAGTCTTCGGCTAATTTGCTTGTCTCCCAAGAGGTTTGGAAAATAATCAAAAGTGGTTTTAAGATGAACTCTGGTAATTCAAATAGGACCTTAGGATGAACTCCATCTGGTCCAGGCGACTTTGAGGTGTCTAACTGATTGAGTTCTTCTCAGGTGTCATTCATTGTTAGCTCCAGGTTGTCATCAATGCTGGCGGTTGGTGGAGGGCTGATCTCCCAGTTACCTGGGGGTTCGTCAGTGAAAACCGATGCAAAGAAGTCTGAGAGTACTTCTGCCCTTTAGTCGTCTGTGTCAGCTAGCATACCATTTGGTTTTATTAAAGCGGGGATTGATTCTCTTATGGTAGTTTTTTTGGCGTACGTAACTCCAGAACTTTTTCGGATAGTAGGGGTCAAATTTTGAGCATTTTCTAAATCTTCCTAGGGCGAGAAAAACAAGACGTCACTCAACAAAGTACCCCTAGAGGGAATGTGGGCAGAATGTGGAGAAGTTCAAATGTAATGAAGTTCAAATTTTATTTACACGGTGCGTGGAACAGTTGGTCGACTCGAATAACGAAAAACTATTAACGATCAAGAGGAAAATAAATGAGTTTCACTTCGTAACACACGAATCCTTTTGAGCCTATAAAGATGATTGAAGTTTGTAGATTTTGTTCATCGCAACAAATGTAAAAGCCTGTTGAAATTACTGAAATTGAGCTCAATTATCAAATTGAAAAAGGCTGATGTTGACTTATTTTAATATAGATATACACAAGTAGACCAACTGCAAACGAAATATCGTGTGATGTTGATGTGGTGGTTGTAGTTAAAACGCCAAACAAACTTGAAATTTTGAACATCCATTCGCCGTTGGAATCTGTCGAATCTTGATTTTGAATCCTTAAAAAATGTGATTCAAACCATATTGCATTTTTCTACAATCAACCATCAGGCAGTCTATGCAGAATAACTCAATCAGATATGAAAAACAATTTCAAATGTCTAAAAGGGGTTCAACCCTGTGAACCTAATATTGGCCAGGAATTTTAACTTAGCCGAAATCGAATGGGACACACATGGAACGATTAGCGAGAAAAACGAAGAGTGAGTTTCCTCATTTTTTTTTTTCAAATTAATCTGACTGTTAACTTTTTGACTGTTTTGGACTACTAAACCCTCAAAATTTGACCTCATCTTACCATCAGATGAAACTCTTAGTCCATATGAGGCTTCTCAAGTCTTTTACTATATCTTTTCACATTATAACAAACCAACTAATTGCTAGGAACCAGTTAGAGAATTATTGCAGCTCTTTCAAGTGCAACTACCATGAAATGTTGTCACAAATGAGCAGTCACAAGTTTCAATCTTGCTGCTAAATTAATATCGATGTTACCACACAGGTGTGGTATGACTAAATAATCGAACTTTTTGAAAGGCACACACCGAAGAGGACAAAGAAATGTCAAAAAACAATCAACCGTGGATAACTCCCCCAACATTGCACTTAATAAACAAGATTTCGACAAACCATAGAAAAGTACAAAAAGTGGTATTAACCCAAATTAAGATGAAAAGTGATTACATTTTGAAACCTATTGTGACAAAAGGCAGTAAACTGATAAAAACAGAGTAGAAAAAACTCTGTGGGACAAAACATGAATGTTAGCTTCAAATATCCTAAAATTCTTCAAAAAAGTAACCTTCTTTTCAAAATGCATCACAAAGAAACCCACAGAGAAGCAATTACGGATGAGACTAAAGCGGATCTGATAAAGAACTACTTTATATTGACTGTTAGCGAAGACGTTTTTGACAAAAAGAAAGTCAAATAATCGATGACACAGAAAAAGAAATTTTATCTAATTGAGAGTTAAAGTCGAAAACGTGACGAATTGCCAAAGTTCCGTTAAAACGAGCCTAGACAATCGCCTCATGTTCCTTGAAAAATCTGTTTCTCAATATTAGAAGGCCCAGAAAACTTCCAACCAAAAAATTGAGAGGTATTGTTTTGCCAATGGCTTAAGACAGAGATAGAAACGAAGTATCGGATTCAAAACCAAACATTCTCCTAATTTAAACATCGATTTTTTAAAAAGAAAAATTCATGTTACACGCAATAACTAACCGTTTTTAGAAACAGTGTCTGTTTACCAGCTTGGTTTTCTGCCAAAAAAGTCTGTAAATGTAAAATTTTTGTTAACATAAACGAAGATAAAGGTGCAAAAAATCAGCACTGTCTTCTATTATTTTTTGATTTCTCCAAGTTTTTCGATTGGCTAAAACATAACAAGCTCCACAGTAAACCCTTCAACCTGACCGGTAAAGAAAACTTTTGAATTCTGTTGAAAACTATTTTTATGGGGACAACGCAACCAGAAAGAAAGATAGCTGGTCACTGTGCAAGGAGCACAGAATGTTCCAACCATGGTTTAGAAAACTACGTTTTAGAAGTTTTTTTTTTCCAAAATAGTGTAGTTTCTTCTGCTTGATGTGATAAAAAAGATCTCACATAGAATTATTTTTAGGCATATTAGACAATCAGAGTAATATAGGCAAATTGGACAAAAACTTTTTTTTAAAAATCACTAGAAAAACAAAATTTTTTATAGAAAATTTCTGGTTCCCAAAATGAAGCTAAAAAAACTCTAAAACTAGTTTTTTTGCTCAAATTTAAGTTTTAAGGCCTTAAATTAGACATAATTCAGCTGTTGTAAGCCTGATTGCTTGATTTATTTGCTCGAATTAAGACGAAAAATCAAAAATTTGTTCGAATCACATCAAAAATTTGTTCGAATCACAATGTTCGAATTCCAACTGAAGTGGCTTTGATGTGATATATCTTTCGCACCAGTCCGATGATTATTTGTGGTACTTGATTTTCCGTGGTAATTAAAAAGAAAATGAAACTAAAACACACCCGAATACAAAGTTCCTCACCTTTTTTCAAATGGTCGGAACAAAAAGTAAATCGAGTGAAAGAGCTATCGAATCAGGTGTTTTGCAAGGTTCCGTCATGATAACAGTCCTGTTTCCTTTTTACGTTAACGGCCTCCCGATTTTTTCATCGCTAGCGTTTTTTTGCAGACGACCTGGAGCTTGTTTTCCGAAGCAAGGAAAAGATTTTGGGAAACTTAAGTGCGACCTCAACTATCTACCTAGCTGGACTGTGCAAAAATGCATTACTATTCAGCCTCAAAGAATGTTTTTCCTTTCCAAATTAAAAACAGAAAGCAAAAAAATAACCTTGAAAACCTAGTTTTTGAAATTCCAATTGTTTTTTGACTGGGTGAAATGATGAAGGACTCGTGAAGTAACCCCAGTTACAACGATAATCTTTTATACATTCTTTTTTTTATTAAAAAATTTCTCAAACATCTCACTGAAATTTCTACAAAAAAAAAGAAAAGAAACATTATTTTATTCATTAAAAATCATAGGTTGAAAAGGAAGTGTAAGTACATTGCTACATTGTGCGTACATTGCTAACTTCCTTTGGCTTCTAAACTTCCTTTTCCTTCTAGAGCCATTTTCTCTCGAATTTTCAGATCACGCTCTCTCTTCTTTGTCAATTTTTGCTCTGAACCGCTTCTGTTCGTTATTTTCGGGCATGTCAATTCTAACACATTGACACAATGACTATTCAAGTTTTTAAACAAAACTTAATGTTAAAACTGAAACACATGTTAAGACCAAACCAGTTCTTTTAATGTAAATGTATTTTCCAGAAAATCCAATGGTAGTCCTGACGCAGTCAAACTTGCAACTGAGCAACCCATCTCTCAGAAAGTATGAATCTTTAATCTATTGATTTGCCTAGGAAGTGTTTAAATATATTTTTTTTAAATTTAGAAATCTGACCTGTGATCCCAATATCTGCACGGAATCAAAATTGAGTAATGCCAAAGTATTGCTGACTGCAAATACAAACATTGGCTCAAAGATTCTGACAAAAACAAACCCGCTGAAAGCTACCTTAGATTATCCTATTGGACGAAGTTATACACTGAACCACAGGTGAGTCTTGGGAAGAAGCCCTTATTAATATTGTGACCGAGAATAGCTCAGTCACAATTGAAAGTTGGGAAATCCTAAATTCATTTTTCGTACTGATTCTGTTTTCCCAAAATAACTAAGTTAGCGGAAGTAGCGTGGTCATTTTACAAAACGACTAAATATTTTTTGGAGGAAAGTGGCAAAGGTACAGTTATCATGTAATTTAGCTGCCCAATTTATTATACCTCGAACTGAATAACTTCAATTCGTTGTCAGAATTACAGTTGCTGTATCGTTGTCAGTTGCTGTATCGATTGAGCGATATTATGAAAAAAAGCTGTTTATCATTTCAATTAGCAAAGGTCTTGCAACGCGTTATTAGAGGTTTTTTCCCGGAACAAATCTGCTCTCAGGGTGACTTTGTTGAATTTCCAAATTTGTTATTTCGGCAGCCAACAGATATAATTTGAACATGTCTGCATTTTAATAGTAAAATCACAGTGCGGAGGGGATATATTTTTTTTACTACCAGGCAGGCGGGGCCAGCTATAATTAATCCAGTCAATAGTTTTACCCGAGAGATTAGTTCATTAGCATATCACGAAAATTGGTGTGAAGTTGCTATGTTTGTGATACTAGGCTGGGGGATGTAATGGTAAAGATCCGATCCAGCTGCGAATTTTGCCATGGATATAGAGGTATCGCACATGCTTGGGTCAACAAAATTTAAATGTCGGACTATCGATTCTTTGCTTATATTTTATCGGCATAGTTAATGCAGCAAATGCAGCACGGATTTTGTCATCTTCTGGCTGAAGCAATTTTAATCTACGATCTAAGAATGATTTTTTCTGAAATAACATTTGTTTTCTTATATTATCTGCCTTACAGCCGTTTTCATATTGTTACACTTGCGAAATCAACAGTCCTGTAACCGTGAACTAGGCTGTAACCGTAAACTAGGTCCTGTAACCGGAAACTAGGAAATCAACAGTCCTGTAACCGGAAACTAGGCTGTAACCGGAAACTGTTAAGCTCAATTTCTTAAAATTTCAAATAAAACTAATGGTAGTAGTTTTTTAAGTAGTAAAGATTTATTAGGTAATTACCATATTAAGCAGAAATCAATATTTTGAGAAAAATTTTTGAATAATTTCTGAATGAAGTTTTTTGTCCTAATTTCCGTCGTCTCATTCTCCGTTCCTCTCCGTACGGTAATTTGTAAAATCATCAACTCTGATTTTGCATCATTCTCTCACTTTTTACAAAGAAAATTTTGTTTGAAAAACGCTTAAGTCAACTAGTATGGCGTAGTTCAGAGCGCAGAATAATTTCTTACGTTTGTAGCGATTCAAGAGGGATTAGTTTAAAATTATATATAAGAACAACTTTTTTTCGGCTTAACGGGAGTCGACCCAAGTTTTGTGGACTTGATTGCCGCTTACTAAATGATTATCAATGGCCACTTAATTTGAGAAATCAAAATAATTAATCAGAAAGTCCCGGTATCTGTTAACCTATGTCAGGCAACAATCAGTGGGCAAACAAAAATGATAAACTAGCCACAGTAAGATAAAAAAAATGGGCATAATTAATGTCAGTATATGTAAATATTTAAATCTATTTTTTTGCAGATGTATCAACGTAACTAAAATAAACTTATGCTTCACAACGCAATTAAAATAAATTTATGCAAAGAAAGTTAAGATATCGGAAGACACAGGGGTGTTGAGTCGATAGATATTGTGTATTTCAGCCACATGTTTGTTTGAGGTGGGGATAGCCTGCGTCATTACAGCCTTCTCTCATCGACCTCTGTTCTTATTGATGAGTCAAATGTATAAGAGTTTTATTTTAGGGATCATGATCCTCTGATACATATAATTGTACTTTTTAAGAGTGCAAAACTTATTTTGGTTCTGATGAAGGTGATTGCATTTGCGTAGGAGTCATCTCTCTTGGCGCTTAATTTAGATGCAATTCTTCTTAAAACTTTGATGGCAGAAGGCCCCGTTCCATCAGTGCATGCAAAAATTAATGGGTCGAAGGTGGCATTGTCGACTTTGATGATTCTTTGTTCTTATTTTCAGATTTTCATCATTTTTTCAGATTTTCATCATAACTAAATGAATCTTTTATTGTTTTCGGAGAACTTTTTGCTAGGGGATTGAATTCTTCAACATCAAAAAATGCTTGTTAAATCTGGACTCTCATAGACCGTTCGATTTGATGTCTAATCTTGCCTCATCTTCAGTGATCGTTGATTTTTAGTCGTAGTGCTCACCTTGTAACGGCTGAAGACTGGGCTCGATTTCAACATCATAACATTCATCATCTAATAAATTGCAAATGTGTCTCATATCTCGTTGTGCCTGATGATGGAGTAGCCCTCTTTTCGACATTGAAGTGATTGTGCGATTGTGAACTGTTCGCCGCATGCACATGCCATTGTCATATTCTTAGGTTCCCATCCGTATCTGAAAGATATACCATATCTGAATTCAGATTTGGTCAGATTCAAGTTCTAACGTTTCAGTGGGAGTGCATTAGGTCAACTCGATGATGCTTTCTTCGAGGCTAAGCGAGTATATATATATCTCTTTGTCAGTTAATTTGGCTCTTAGTTGCTAATTCTTTTATTTCAACATCTTCGCTTTTTCATTTTTTAATTACCTATCAATTTTTCTTGTATACTCGTAGTTGGTTTGCAAACAGCCTGATATCGCGAGTTTTCATATTCACGATCTTTAGGTAACAGCAGATTCAGGCCGCCGTCTCTAACTGGACGGGAAAAGATTTACGGTATTTCATGTCGTATGCGGAGTGGTCTAGTAAGTTGGACATTATCTCTTTTGATAGTATATAATCAGGAGTCTCCAAGAGATTGTTGCAGTTTGAAGTATTTCTTCATATAAATTTTAGGTTATTACCGATGTTTTGCATGTTCCGCTAATTTCGTCTAAATATTGGAATGTTATTCAGCTTATTCATATATGAAGCTTTCATGCGAATCTTCAGAGCCTATAATGCGAATGCTTTCTTGCGAATCTTCAGAGAATCCTCGGAGCCCAGAACACAATTATCGTTAATTTCATTGACGTCAAGATTATCAAAAGGTTTTTAAAGTTGTTTCTAAAGCAACGTTTTGTTTTTTAGCGCGAGGTCGCGGTTTAAACGGTTAAAAACGTTTTTTTTTTGCATCCATTAAAAGCATTGCGTGTGATTCCTCCGTATTGAAAATTTTTGAGTGAATGAATTGCATATTCGATACCCGATTTTTACTTAAGCAGAGCTCAGTGTTTCTGCAAAGTAGACTGAGATTTTTTGTAAGCATTGTATAATACTGCGCGCAATTGTTCGTCGAATCACCTACCCGACACTAATTGGTCGTACTCCGCGTTTTTTGTCAAGCGCTGTAAAGCGGCATGCGTTATAGCAGTATAGGAATTCAAAATTTTCCTTGGCAATTCTGATTGATAACTATGCAATAGTTTCGCAGAGGTCACTAGTAGATGTTGTAAAGCTCGTTAAAATGTCTCTGTTCATTTGCATCTAATCCGTATCTAATGCATGTTTTTGTCGTATCGCAAGTGATGCGAAGATTCGCTTGGTCTCTGTGTCTAAAAGTGTGCATTTATTTGTTACAAAAGTCCGATTTTTTTGGTTGCTTACGCTATATAGGGCCTTTTTCCGGTTAGCGTATTAACTCAGTTGAATCCCCTGCTGACCATGCAGCTGATTTCTTTTCACTTCTCTTCTTTTCTCTTTACATCTTTCAGGTTGCTTCCCCCTTGGCACGGAGGTAAAGCAGTTGCCTTTGCACCCTGAGGTCTGGGGTTCGAGTTATGGCCGGACCTTGTTTTTTTTTCAGTATCAAGGAAAATGAAGAAAAAAAGTCGGAGAAAAGGGAAATTTTGGTTGTTCGTTTGTTCGCTTAATTTTTTTGCCTACATTGCCACAACGGATTTTGCTTGTGCTGTAGACAGTTTTCATTGTAGTTGCATGTGCAAGTGTTGTTTATTCTATTTCAGGGGGGACTTGAAAGATTTGTGAAAAACCTTAAAAAATATTGTTTTCGGTTTAAGTGGTTTCAGCTCAAATATTGTTGGCTGAGTTGCCCCATCACTGATTTGGCTCGTGCTGTAAAAATTTTTCCTTTTACTTGCAGTTGCAACCGTTGTCCATTGTTGTTCAAGATGATTTGTTTAAATCATAATTTAAATTATAATCGGATCAAAGATTGTCGGCTTAGTTTCTTATACGTAAATTTTGTTCCGTTGTTGCTGATTTAAATTTCAAATGTCCGGCGTGTTTGCTTGGTATTGAATACAAACTTATTTGCTAAAAGGAAGGCAGGTTCCGCTCTGGCAGAATGGTGCACAAAAATTGTTGGGTTCAAATTTTTTTTTATGAGAAACCCCAGCGGAATGAAAAGTTGTGCATTGACCCAGCTTTCTCTAAGATAATTGTCTGAAAGAAGTTTCAATCATAAAAGATTTTTGAAATTGAAAGAGCTGTAATGTGAGGTATTTCATCATCATTGAATATGGTTAAAAAAAGTCAATCATTTTTTATCTCGGTTGCCCTGAACTCATTAACTTATCCATTTACTTGTTGGCTATAATTTGAAAGGTATATTGCAATTTTTCAAATCATTTGATTGTTTTTAAATAGCATATAGTTTTGTTATGAAAGTGATGCGATGACGTGCTGCGCCTCTGCGCACACTAGATTGCTTCGCATAGGTTGAATTTAAATGAGCTATTATGAAATTCTCTTGTTAAATGGTTCGGTTGTTGTTGGTCTTAAAAACAGCAAAAGTTAACTGAAAAATAGGAAAGATCTTTCATTTTTCTCCGTTAGTTTTTTGTTTTTACTTTGTTTTTTTTTCACATAGCTTATCTTTTTATGTCTTAGTTTTGTCTTTTTTAGGCTATCTGGAGGCCTATCATCCAACTTGCCTGGAAAATTTTCAGTTAAAAACAGTACAGTACTGAGCAGCGGGGATAGTGGCTTGAAGCATCAACTCGAGAATCCTTTGCTTTCCAGCAGCAAAGCGGCTCCCGGACTAGCTGGGATTGAGAACAGTTCAAATAAACTGAAATCGAACTTGAACTCGAATTTGAAACCAGAGTTAAAGTGTTTTCAATGCCGATCAGCCTTAGAGACAAGGTAAAGTTTTTATACACTAATTGATTCGAGCTGCTGCTTATTATACGCTCTATTTTAGATTGAAAACGAGGGCTCTCGAAACGCGTGTAGGTATCGAAGTAGTAACTCATAGCTCTCTGGTCTCAGGGAACCTACAGGGTTCCAATCTTTCCGATGGGAAAACCACTACTCAGAATCTGCCGACGTCGGTCTTGTCGCATGAGAAACTGATAGAGAAACCTCGCGTGTCATTCGGTGGTCCTAAAGATGCTCCCGTGTTAGTGGATTTAGATGATTTTTCATCGGATGCTGTTCAAATAGACGAGGAACGCAGGTTCCAATTTGAGAAACCGATCTTCCCTCCTTTGAATGAGTCGAGGGACGCAGATGAATCACCGATACAGGCTCTTGATAAAATCAAGGTAAAGACAACTTTATCATTGGTTGGCTGCATTTCAAGCCGAGCTATGATTGTTACCGTATTGCATATAAATAGGTGAAATGAAGGATATTTCCAAGTGAAGGAATTAAAGGGATTTTCAATTTTTTTTGTTCTAATAAATTGTTGAATGAAGTAGTGTAACATTTTAGAAAACGCTGATAAACACAATCAGCGGAGCTCTCATTGCTGCTCCAAACTTCACAAACCCAGCTGATGAGGCTGTGATCAATATAACACAGCAGTTGAACAAAATTGCGAGAAGTCAAGACCCTGAATTTATCCTCAAGGTTCGTCACCACAAAAGGAAAAGACCGTTTTCAAGAAAAATTAACCAGAGCGATTTGCGTGGAAAACCGAAAAAGTCCTATAATTGATAACCGAACCAAGTTTTTTGATCGGTTTTGGTTATCATAACGCATTTTAATACACATCTTGTTTCTCTGATTTGTGAAGATGTTTCAAAACTGTAAGATTTAAGTCCTAATCAACTAAAAACTATCAATTTTTAAACTACTTTTAAGAGTAATGAACGTAGTCTTAAAAAGTCTTAAAATTTGTTCACGCTCAGTTTTGATTTTTCGCGGTTTGACTTGTTTTTTTTCAGTTCAGTGCATTTCTATTGTTGAAAGGAAGGCATACTCCACTATCGAATAGCAAAATTGTAAAGGTCACGAAAAACGTGATCAACTTCTATTTTCGAAAATGGGAATTAATTATCAGATTTCCCAGCGAAATAAAAGTTTTACCTATTGATCCAGTTTTCTCAAATTGGGGAAATTTTAACAAAAAGGTGTCCATTATAAACTGTTCTACGAATTCAAAGAGTTTTAAGGCCATCTAATTTTTACTTCGAAGTTCAAAAGTTGAAGATTTTTGATAAAAAAACAAGCGTTTTTTTTTTGTTTTCTTGCGTTCATTACCATTTGCCAACTGTAAGTTGGCTATGTTTTGAAAGTCTAATTTTGTTTATAGTCATGAGCGTAGTGAATACTCTGATTTCTGTGTTGGTGATTTTTTTTTACACTAGCGACCTAGTACGAACCTTCTTTTTTTTAACTCGCAAATTAAAGTGTTCACTTATTTGGCACTTTTGCTATAATCACGATATGTAGCATTGAAAGTTTCATAGCATCTGTTCTCAGCTTTTTTTGGCTAGTGTTTGTGATCAGTTAAGCAACAGTGGCTGAGTGGTTAGTGTGTTTTACTTATAATCTATAGGTCACAGGATCGAGCCCGAAACTGAAAAGAATTTTGAAAACTAATTCGAGGCTTGTTTCAACTTTTTTATTGCTATTTATTGAGATACTTTTTGCCGTGTTCTCGCTGTTTTTTATTTTGAAAAACATATAAAATTAATCACGCTAAAATTTGAATTTTCGCGGTTTGACTTTTGATTTCTTTTTAGTTCATTTCTTTTGTTAAAAGGAAGCTAAACTGCACTGTCGAACAGAAAAAGTTTAAAGATCCCTAAAAACGTGATTTACTTCAAGTTTCGAAAGTGGACTTTAATTTTTGGATTTCACATCGGAATAAAAAAAATCAACCTTTGAATCCAGTTTTCTCAAATTGAGTTAATTTTATCAAAAAAAGTTAATTTTATTTTTGTTCATTAATTTCAAAGTGCTCTAGGGGCCTATATTTTTTCTTTGAAATTCGAAAGTTGAAGTTTTTTTTCCCAAAAACAAGTCAGTTTTTTGTTCTATTTCCTTGCGCTCATGACTCTTTTCCAACTGTCTGCTGGCTACGTTTTAATTTTCAGCTTGCTTTGTACTCGAGACAGCAGTTGAATCTGAGGACTGTGAGCAACTTCTTGCTTGCCTACAGTTCCTACGAACCAGCATGCAGACCCTACCTGAAGAGATACTTCAAGAAAAGTATCGTCCTACCAACAGACTGGATTGAAGTGGCAGAACTGTACCAGGTAATGTCTGATTCTATTTGTGTTAACGCTTCCTTTTAGAGGTTAGATTTTTAAAGAAGTGCTACCTTGTAAATGCCCAAACTGAGACTGGACGGTGACATGCGTCGATTGATCTAAATGTTTAAGTTGGTAGACGATGAGTTGGGTTTCACTGTTATGTATAGAATCATTCTTTGGAGAGCGACTTGAAATGAAATATGGCAGAAATTTTTGGAGTTGCGGGTAGTGAATATTGTGAGTGAGAACTACTGAGGATGTTTACAAGGACATTTTCTTTTAGGGCCTTTCATTTTGGGGTATGATGAGTTATGTTGCTTGGGTTGTAAAAACGTGCATAAAGCTGTTTTATATACAATGCAATAAGTGCAAGATTTAATCGACTGTTCTCATACGATAGTTCTGTTTGCAGAACTATGTGAGTAGTCCGAAGGCGAGCAAACATGGAATGGTGTCGGCAGCACTGAGGAAGGCTCTTATTGAGAAGTTCCCGGATTTTGACGAATACCAACTTGGAAAGTACAACAAACAGAAGAGAGCAAAGAAAGTGACTACCAAAAAAGTCAAGGGGAAAGTGGTCAAAATTGTGCAGGTATATTTTTAAAATGGTCTCAAATTAATTGATCATAGCGTCACTACTACTTGTAATGAGTAAAAATTAGCAATTCAATCAAAAATAAGTTGTGACAAGCGCAGCGAGATGATTGAACAACCAAGTATGTCTTGAAAAATAGTTTTTGGGTTGAAGAATGGAGTTTCTGGCGCTTTTATTTGGTATCTGGTGTTGATAGCTTTTATGTTCAGACCAGTAACAATGGACAGAAGAAGAAGTTCACCCTGAAGCAGTTGATAAGAATGACTCACATCACGAAGCCAGTGAATCATGTCATGAGCATCCTCGGCAAGAAGTATCCAGACAGTCCAGAGGAGTTCAACAAGCTGCAAATGACAGGTGTCTTTGATTCAGGTGTGTAAGGTTTTCGCGTGAGGCGACGGCAGATCGTAACAGGTTGCACTTAGTAACATTAGATCTAGCGGCAGTACCTGATTCTGGCTCACAATACCAATCGTGGTGAATGAAAGTAGAGCGAAGTGGAGCAAGCGATCGCTACTTAACAATGCCTTGTTACGATTTGTCGCTTGTAGCTTGTCACGAGTTGTTGCCTTTAAACTATAGTAGTTTATGACAAATTGTCGTCGGTTACGAATAGAGGCACAATAGGCTTTTGTTTCTGTTCATGTCCGAATCTACCGCATCGGGCACGGACTCTTGCGGCTGCTCCACCGCCTCCTGGCTAAAATTTGGTGCCATATCATGCCATGAGTTTTTTGTCGTGATGATATGAAGCCATTCGAGCTAAAAGAATTTCAATGGCTATTGCGAATGCAAAATTGTCTGGCATATTTAATTCGTTGAAATGATTGTCATTCAAAATTTTCATGGTGCCAGGGATTCATTATCACTGAAGATGGGGAGCCATGTTGTCCAAATATAAATAAGTGTCTTATTTATTCTCATAGCGCACTATGTAGATGGCTATCAAAGCAATCCAGCAAAATTGATAGTATTTTGCATTAAAGGGGTCCAGCAGCGGTTGGCAGAATTCTAGCTGAATTATCTTCACTGTATTCATAATGCGAGCAAACTACTAAGACTGGTTTAGCTAATGTGATGCTTATTTAAAGAGTTTGATGTGCTATATGGTTTCAGAGAAGGCCGGGAAAAGGATGCGACTGGCTACTCCCGAAACTTGGGAGACACAGGTGTCCGCAAGAGGAAACAAAGCAGCGGTGTGGGAGGAGCTACTCGATCATAACAAACTCCCATTTATGGCTATGTTGCGTAATCTTCGTAACCTGATCAAAGCGGGCATTTCAGAGCAACATCACAAGAAGGTCGTTCGAAAATTGATGGACGAGGTGATCATCGTAAAATGATTTAGGGTTGACAATGAGAACACCAATTTAGCATATAAAATTTTTGCCGGCCCAGTTGGAAGTTGAATTTTGAAATGTTTTATACAAGCTTTTAACTACTCCATAACAACCAACCTTTATGCAAGAAAATTTTCATCTGAAAAATCAAACTATGATGAAATTCAGTTTTTTATCCAGATACAACTCATACTAACGATGAGATTAAAAAATCTAAACCACGTTAAAATCATGTTTATTGTTTCAGAAAACCATTATCAGGAGCCGACAGTTTCCTTTCCGATTTTTCTCGGCTTTCGTGGCTCTTGATGATCTGGTGCAGGAACTCGAAAAGGCCGAGAAGGGTAAGTAGCGTCCTTTATTTCAATCCTCAAATTGATCTACTTTATTATGAAGGACCAGTGGTGCAACACATGAAGAGCTGACCTCTTTTGCGTTCATTTATTAGTAAACTATGGATTAGATCTTTTAAATAAAATTGAGACTTTATCTTGTATGTGATTTAAATAGAGCAAGATGCACCGCCTGCGCCTAAAAAGCCGGTAATCAAGAAAAAAGTATCAAAATCGCACAAGAAGAAAACGTATGTGACCAAGAAACCCAAACCACTTCTCTACAATCGAACCCAAATCGCAGCTTACAAGAAGGCTTTGGGCAAAAGTGTGAAGATCGCCACCATGTACAATGTCAGCCCTATTCCGAATAAGACGTGGATCTTCTGTAATACTTCAGATATCATGTACAAGCCATGTACATCTGCAAGGGCATTCGGAAAACCCAAGGAGGTGACTTTTTAAACCTTAAATAAGCATTTTTAGTTGTTGAAAAAGGTTCAAGATAAATTGGCGCGCAAGTCACAAGGTTTACTTGAAATCGTTTTAATGTTCTTATCAACTTGGGAAATGAAAAGCATATGTTGTGGCCAGGGGCGGATCTAGGATTTTCTATAGGGGGGGGGGGGGGCGGATTTTGAAAATCTACTCCTGGTTGTGGCCTATGTAACGCATGTCCTAAATTTTTTGATGGGAAGATCGACGCTTGGTTTCTACGGCGAATGTCACTGTTATTGAAAGCCAATTGAAAATTATGTACACGTGTTTTTTGGACGATATTGTGTATGAGTTTTATGTTGATTAATTCTCTAGATGATTGAAGTTGGAGTTCTTCTGGGTCTAATGTGCCAACATGCATGTGAGAGCAGCTCATTCAACATCTTCCACGAAAATGGACTCGAACACATCCCTCTTAGCAAAGACAACATCTTGGAGAGGACCCAACGGATATTGAAATTGGCAGCCACGGCGAGTGGAAAAGCATTGAATGATGATGCATCCACGGCTGTCTCCGTTCCTCAGAGGGAAGAAGCGAAGTTTCCGGAAGAACTCTTGTGGGATCTGATCAAAAAGAACCAAAAGGTATTGGAAGATTTGCCATTAAATTTTGCTGATCTATTCTTTCCATTCAATGGTTCTCTGGGCTTCAAATTGTTTCAACCAGGCAATACCAGAAACTAAAAATAAATATGAGAAATCAATATCAAAATTACGCTATTTACACTAGCGATCAGTGTAGTATATTATTACAGAACTTCTTTTTTCTAACCTAACTCGCAAATAAAAGTTTTCATTGAAAGTCTTCACTTGTATGGAAATTTCACTGTAGCATTCGAAATTGCTTATCATCTGTTCTCTGCTTTATTTTTGGCTAGTGTCTGATGCCTATTAAGCGTCCGCCGTGGCTTAGTAGTTAGTGTGAGACTCAGAAATTCTAGGTCGCAGTAGGTCAAAGGTTTGAATCCGAGAAGTATCCGAGTTTTTACTAATTGCAGGCTTTTTTCTACTTTTTCTCATTGCACTTTATAGACCTGCTTTTTGTCGTGTTTTCGCTAGTGTGTCGTGTTTTCTCTAGCTTTTTGTCGAGCTTAGTCTCTTTGTTTACAGTTCACTTTTGTCTTTGCTCCACTATATCAATCATTTCAACAAGAAGCAGTCATTATGTTCCGACCGTTGTGTCTTGTAAGTTTTTTTGTTTTCCACGCTAAATTAGGTTACACGTTTATTCATCGGAATGGGTCGAGTGATGGCTCTTTTCTACTTTCACCGCCTCTCAAATTATCGTTTTTCTTGTCTGTTTTACGTATTATCACGGATAAATTCGTGATATTTATTACGATGTCAGATATCAGGAACAAATCTGTCCACAGTTGTCAGTTAGTTCACCATGCCAAATTTCATTGCATGGTGACTACGTTAAATAAGCTTTTCAAAATTGAATTTGAAAGGGTAGAACTGGGAAAGAATCCGAGTGATAAGTCATATTAAAGCCCTTTCAGTGGTATCCCTTTCTTTTGTGCCATTTCGCTTGTGTCCAATGCACTATTGTTCTACGCGTCACACTACGCACAAAAAAGGATACTAATTTGATTCGCTTCTGTTTATATATATATATACACACACACACACACACACATACATACATACACATGCGCGGATCTAGGAATTTATCGAGGGGGGGGGGCGATTTTTGTGATTTTTTTTTAGGCCGACAAAATTGATTTTCTGAGCTCTCCCAAATCACTATAAAAACCCTTAATTGACCAAATTTTCTGGGCCGCAGGCAATTTTTCGAAAAAAGACCAAAAAAGCGTTTTAGGCACTTTTCGGAAAATTTCGACCGTAAAATTGCGTTTTTTTTGGCGCGAGCTCCCCCTCAAATTAGTATAGATTGGCGCCAAGGGCACCTTTGAAAAATTTTAAGGTCAGTCAGCCAAAAATAGATATCTTAAAATAGTACAAAGGGGGAACCCTTTGGGTCGAACAAGCCCCCCCCCACTAAATCCGCTACTGTATTTATATACTCTATAATTTTCTCTTGGCTTTATTCTAGATAGACAACCTGGTCATTCTCACGCGTGATATCTCGCAAGAAAAAACCCAGGAAAATGTGATCAATAGTTTCTTAGTGAAATATAGACGATTGGTCAATCCTAACTTACTGTTCGTAAAAGTCGATCTCTCTGGCGCATCAACCAAAATGAAACTAGGTTCATCTGAGAGTCCTCTAGATTCCAACTACGGCGATGGCAACGAGGATGTGCTCTTCGAGCATCCGAATGATATTTGCATTGCTGGGTTCTCGGAACAGTTGTTGCAATTCATAGCAGAGAGAGGAAACAATGCACAGTTGCAACACGTGTCGGCCATTGATAAAGCGTACGAGTTGCACAAGATCAAAGTTCACATTCAGGATTTGCCGACCGAGGGGTCGGAAATTGGCGAGTCGACAAGCACGGAATTGTCGAGTCGCGTGCAGATTGCTAATGTTCCCAAAATTATAGGGTAAGTTGTTGTTATTCGGAAGCAAAACTAATTTCAGTTTTTATAGCTAAACCAATCTGAATTATGAGCTTCGCAAAACGTAGTTTTGCTTTTTGAAATCTTACTGAATGAATTCTGATTCTGAAAGAAAGCGGTCTTGTGAGTATTAAGAGATTCAGCTTGTATAGCGCAGTGAAACTGAATCATTTGGTGCTCTTTTAGAGTGAGAAGAAAGGTTCGACCTCCAGTGGAAGTTCTGTATCTACGTTCTATGTCTATGTGCTTTAAGTGTCAAAGAACGCAGTGAAGACATTTATATAGGTCGTGTTTTTTTTTCAAAGTTTATCACTTAGTTAGGCCTTGGTGCAAAAAAGTGTTCTTCAAGTTTTAGGTTTGCCTCTGGAATTTTAAAAAATACCTTTTTTTTTCTGAAAGTGGGTTCCCGGTTTTCTCAAGGTGAGTTAAACTTATGAAAAACGTTTAAGTAGTAAAAGCTTCTTAAAATTCAAAGAGCTTCAAATCAAAATTCGGAAGTTGTATATTGGTATAAAATAAGTCTATCATTTGTTGTCAGTTCCTTGCTTTCTTGACATTTTTCCCCTTGACTTTTGGCTTTGTTTTTTCTCTGCAGTTTTTGAACTGGCTATCCAGACTAGAATGATAAACTTTAGAACATGCTTTTGAATACGATGAAATTAATCTACTTTTGTGTAGATTCAGAAAGGTGCGTATCTTCATTTCGTCCACTTTCAAGGACATGCAGATGGAGAGGAGTCTCATTGTGGAGTCCTTGATGCAGGAACTGAGGAAGAAGTTGTCCCATCGACTCCACCTCATTCTGGAGGAGATCGACCTCAGATGGGGAGTGGTGAATTCTGAAAACTCCAGGTAGCTGTTCTTTCTGTTTACAGTCTGTCTGTTGTTATTGTGCTCATTGACACGTCTGTTGCTTCCGTTCTTTCAAAGAGGATGTTTGGATACTTTTCACCAGCGTAAATTTTTGGCGGCGGCTTTTTAAAAAATTTTAAGGCCAACGAGATAGATTTTCTGGGCTCTCCAAAAACACTACAAAATTTTAGGGTCGGTCACCCGAAAATGGATTTCGTGGAATATTACTAAAAGGAAGGACCTTTCGGGTGATCAGGCAGTCGAATACTTTAGGGGAGGCGTTTGAATCCCCATAACTCCGCTTCTGATGATTTTTTTGCCAACATCAAACGAAGGCTGTTTTTCATCTTGTGTCGAAAATTATGATTGGTAAAATGTTTTTTTTTGGTCTGAAAAGTCGGTATTTTGAGACTTTGTGGTGTCAGTTTTTTTTCTGACCCTGATTATGGTATCTCGAGTATATTTTTGTACTGATTATATATTCTTTTTCTTAGAACTTTCATTTTTTTGCAAAAAATGCCATGTAAATAGTTTGCTATTCAAAGCAAAAATCTATCTGAAATATTTGTAGATTAAAGAAACCTGAAGGCAACAATTTTAATGATGCAGTATGTTGGTTTTGCCGTTAGGCAACTCTGTTGAAGATTATAACTGAATTTTTTAAGTTTTGCACCACAGAGTTTTTGAACTCACTGTGTCAAGGCATTTTTGGACTTCGAGAAAATCGTTTTTCATTTAATAGCCAAATTATTCTTAAAATGTACGGATTTGTTTTCTTTTAGTTTCCTAGGTTTTCCTGTTTTTTTTTGTTTGTGTGGATTAGTCTTAGTCGACGTTAAGCGATTCAATTTAAGGCGCCATTTTAAAAGCTGATATATAAAATATGAGAATTTAAATTCTCTCAAATGTAATTTCCTATTTGGTTTTTGGGAATGAACTCGATCGTGAACTATTTTTCGCGATTTGCCTTTTTTTTGTTATCTTAAGAAAACATCGCCTTATGTTCTTGCTGGTGGTTCAAAGGTACATTTCGCATGTAAGCCTTATCTATTGTTGATCTTCATAAAAGATAAATTGCATAAAAGGTTAATGGATTTAGATCAACTTAATCGACCTTCTTGAAATAATGATAATGAGAGTAGAATAAATTGACTGCAAAGAAAGGTTACTAGCCTGAGGAAGAGAAAAATTTTAGCCCAATAAAGGGTGCAAAGGGAACCCCATTGTTTGAGACTCATTATCGAAGCTATCGTTAAAAGAATTGTACCTTTGCTTAATGCCCCTATTCTATTGCTAAATCGGGTATTTAGACATTTTTTCGTCTAATGAACTTCCAATTTAAAACCCCTGTCACATTGAATGGGTAGGTTCAGAACCTTTCGAATTAAAACAAAGTGTCAAATTTTCAGCTCACTGGCAGTCTGCTTGGACCACGTGCAAAAGTGTCACATTTTTGTCGGACTGGTCGGCAACAGGCTTGGCTTTTGTCCCATGCACTACGACGTGCCACTTCTCCAGCAATTTGATTGGCTGAGAAATGAACCAGTAGGGAAATCAATAACAGAGCTAGAGTTCTTGCAGGCGCGTCAGTTGAACAAACCGATGGTTGTGCTCATGCGTGACAGCGATGGAGACGATTCAATGTTCTTATATTTTAGTTATTTACACAAGCAAAGCTTGTGTTTTAGTATGAACTTTCTGTTTTTCCAACCTTAGTCGCAAATATTGTTGCGACGCGAATATTGTTGCGACAAAACGTATTAATTTTGAAAGTGTTCATTTTGATCAAGAACCAGTAATTAAGTACAGCCAATGGTAAGGATATTAACACAGACAATTAAATTACAAATAGCTTTTTAGCTTCAAGGTATCATGGATCTGTAGCGTAGAAGTAGGGAAGGAGACCAGTAACAAAAAAAGAGGGTTCGAACCTGGGCAGGGTCGAATGTTTATTATGAACAACTTTTTCGTATACTAGTTAAAATGCGTCCGCTCTTTAAATTGAGGCATGTTAGTTGTTTTTTTTTTTCAAATCGACTGGTACTGCTAAGGCGTCATAGTTGGCTTGCATCACTTAGCAATTAGGAAAACTCATAATTGGGATGCGTAACTTAAGGAATTATGTAGACTCAAAGTTTTACTTATTCAGTTTTTCCCAGTAGCGTTATCGGTCATATTTTTGCTTATGTATGCGAAGTCAAATTTATATATGCGAGGTCTGTACTCTAAGGTTTTCCAAACTATATGTTATATAGGCTTTCCTCTTTTCAACTTAACTTTTCGAACGGTTTTTGATTAGGCAGTAATGAACAACGAACTGTACCTATTTATATTAAGTGAACCACATGTGTTTTGGACTGATAGATGGGGCGCATTTTGTAATCAGGCTTATATCAATTTTTTTATGCAAGCGAGTGTAGTGTTATATTACGAGTTTTGTTTTTTCTAACCCAAATAGCAAATACATCGGAAATTTGGTCGTGATGATTATATAGGTCGTGATGATTGTTTGTTTGTTCAGGAAAAGTCTAAAAAATTTGTTTATGCTCTAATTTGATTTTTCGCGTTTGGAAATTCAAATATCTTTGAGAGCATCTATTTTTGTTCATTTATTTTGACTTTCAAAGAAAATAGAAAATAGTTTTGCTCGGTGTGGTTTTCTTTATTCAGTCGATTTGCGCCTGAAATTTTTTATACCCCATTGAAGATATCTTGAAGACTTTCTGAGTTCAAAAGTAAAAAGATATTTTACTTCAGATTATTTTTGTAAAGTTTTGGGGGTTTAAAAATTGTCAGATTGGCCTTGTTCTGGACTAAATTATGCTCGCTTTGAAGAATTTGTTCACATTGCTGATAGCGTAACGCGAATTATTAATGTGTGACAATTTATCCTGCACAACAAAATCGTTCCAAATTGAATTGAGGGTAGCTAATCAGATCGGTCGTATTATTTTTGTACGACTCAACATTTCACACTTTGATACTGTCCAAAATTTGTAGGTTTTCAGTATATTCTTTTCCCAAAAACTTTTCGATATGAATTAAGAAGGGGTAGTCGGAACATTCAGGGTTTTGACCTGATATACGAGGCGTCTTGTTTTCTCGGAAATTTGAAAGTTGAAACTAAAAAAAACACAAGTTATTGTTTCTGTTTACTGGCGTCCATTGACTCTTTTCCAACTGTCGGTTGGCTTTGTTTTTCCAATTTGAAAAAAGTCAAATTGTGAAAAATAAAACTAAGTTTCGCCTTTTGTCTGGTGTATGTTCTTTGATATGATTATATTTTAAAATGGCCAAAGCTTTAGGTGATTTAAAGATCTTCTTTTCTGTACAATACATTTGTATTTGATCTTTGTTTAAAACGTTGATCAGTCAATATGTAAATTCCAATGATAAGCAACTTAAGCTCACAAAGTTAACAATAAGAGTGATCGTATTTGTCAACCAAGGGTGACAGACAATACCAAGGGCAACACCTGCCAATAGATTAATTAGCACCACATTTGACAATTGATGACAGTTAGAAATGAAACTCTCACGAACTGTTTTAGCACTATACAACACTCCACCTTCGATAATGAAAACTTTAAAACGATTGAAAAATACTGAAAGATGGTAGTTGCACAATTAATGAAAATGTACGAAAGTTACTGACGAAATACTGACTGATGAATGTATGGTTGATGAACTAATTTTAAATGTAACAACGGTTTTAGCAACTAAAATAATCACTCAGCGGTGATAAACTAATTGAGTTTTTGGCCAATGTAAGTCAACCCTCTCCCTGGGCTCAGGCTAAGTTTTCTTAAAGTTTTTAAGTTTTCAACTACTTTTTCTCGTCGCGATCCGGTTTGTGTGTAATGCAGTCAATCATCACACCCCCCATCTTCGTTACAGCTGTCCTGATTTCTTTTTGTGTTAATTCTTTTCCTTTGTGAATAGAAAAGCAAGTATTACTATAGAATAACAAAAGTGTAAAGATTATGAAAAACGTGATCAATTTATAGTTTTGATTGTTCTTGAAGTTCAAAGACCTGTAAGGTCAGATATTTGTTTTACCTGAAGCTCGCAAATTGAAGTTTTTTAAAGACTAGTCAGTTTTTTTCTGTTTTCGTGCATTAGATTAATTGTAAGGAATAAGACAGCCAGGGTGGGCGGCTCAGTCAGAAGTCGAATGCTCCATCTCCGCAGTTTTTTTTGTGTTGTTTCGACTCCTTCCCCTATTTTAAGGGGTTGCGAAGAAAATATGACGTAAGGTTTGTTTTTGTTCTGATTTTGACTACCTCAAAAAATCTTGTAGGTTCAAATGTGACACAATTTTAAAGCTTTTGGTCGTGATTTGGCCGTGATATCAAGTCAGACTAAATTAAGTTAAAGGTTGACCTCCAACAGTTTACTTCCACTACAATTGTAATGGTTGTTTTGGCTATTTTCTCTTTCATTTTTTTTTTTCAATTAATTCAGTCGCCAATTCAGTTTTACAAAAAAAATAACAGTAGATTGTGCCAAAAATTGTTTTTAAAATATTCGTTTTTTTTTAGTTTTTTTTAATCATTGTGGTCAAAAGGTTCTGTGCTATTTGCACATCAGTAGGCTCTCCTTGTTTTTAATAACGATAATTTTTATGTGAAAGTGTCAATCATAATTTATAGAAACTCCAAGAGCTCTAAGGTGATGCGTTGTTGTCTATGAAGCTTAATATTTAAATCGAATTCCTTGTAACTGTTCATTATTACTTTTTACTTTCTGTTGGTGATGTTTTTGTTGGTAATTTTATCTTTCATCTATCTATTTATTATGTATTTAAATACGGGCTCCACTATCTCGCCATTTTGCAATGTATTGGTATTGCATGTTCAACGAAAAAATGTTTGCACGTTTAAGCTATATCGTATATTGCAATGCTTAAGAGTTTTTTTTTCAATTTTCCAGCTTGAGTTCAGTGTTTTCTTTTCGCCGATTTGTAATTAGCAACCCAAAACAGGGATCCCATCAGGGTTACTCTTGGGGTTGCAAATTGGGCCTTCAAATATGAATTTTTTTAGTTAACGAGATATGTCGTTTTTTATGATGGTTTCAAAAAATTGCAAGTGTATTTATTAATGCTTGGCGATTTATCCCGCACAACAAAATCGTTCCAAATCGAATTGAGGGTAGCTAATCAGATCGGTCGTATTAATTTCGTACGACTCAACATTTCACACTTTGATATGGTCCAAATTTTGTAGGTTTTCAGTATTTTCTTCTCAGTGTATTTTCAGGCGTTGCTAATTGTGCCGCCAAATATGACTGCTCAAATCTCTGAAGTTTCCGGGTTGTGACGTTTTATATGATTTTTTTTTCACCCTAATAACCTTAAATTTGACAAAAGTTGAGATTCTCAACCCTGTAATTGGGTGCTGTCAGAGTGCTTTCAGGGGCTTCAAATCTTGCTTTAAAGTGTGACTGCTCAAATCGTTTAGGTTTCGAGATATGGCGGTTTTTAAGTTTATTTCAAAATTTAACAAATAATTTATGTATGAAAAAACTGAACAAAAGTTGAAATTCTCTATAGTGTGAGGTGGTGGTTCCTCGAGGCGTTGCAGCTTTTGCACCCAAATATGACTGCTCAAATCTTTTTAATTTCTTATGCCTGGCGGTTTTTGATTTTTTCATAAATTTTCGTAAAATTCAGATTTGAAAATTTCACAAAATTTGAAATTGCCCACCCTGTTGTCAGGTGCTTTCGAGTTACTCTGAATGTTTGCTAATTTTGCTATCAAAGTTCACTGCTCAAATACTTTGGTTTTCGAGATATGATGTTTTTTCAATATTTTTCAAAAAAATGATTTAAAAAATGATGCTTTAAAAAATTTTATGCTGTTGCAAAATTTTTCTAAAAACTTAAGATCTAAAATAGTTTCCAGATCTTAAATTTGATAAGTTTGAAATACTCAACACTATAGCGGGGTGCTCTCAATGTACTCCCAGGATGTTTGTCTGGAATCCTATACTGACTGTTTAACGCCTTTTGCTTTCTTAGATATGACATTTTTATTAAGAGTAGTGAATTTAGTGAAGACTCTTATACTTGCTGATTATTTTTGTTTTTTTTTCTGGGAAAAAGTCTTAAAATGTGCATAAAAGTCTCTATAAACTACATATGTGCTTTCATACATATTGATGCATTGATGAAATCACTTCGGTATTTATTCAGTTTTTGAGTTAAGTTGAAATTCATCTTTTGAAAGTGACGTAAATAGCACTCTCCAAATACGAACGTGGAAATGGCGCAAAAAACGTGAACGATTTTTAGTATCGATAGTGAAATTATTTTTTTAAGAGTTCCTGTGGATTAAGAACTTTTCTTGTTGCTCCAGTTTTCTCAAGTTGGCTTGATGTTATCAAAAAAGGGCCAATCATAAATTGTTCTAGAAATTCAAAGAGGTTAAAGGGAATCAATTTTTTTCTTTGAATTTTGAATTTTAATGTTTTTTTTAAAAAAAAAAATATCATTTTTTGTTTGTTTGATTGCGTTCATTACTCCTTTCCGATCTTCGATTGGTAATGTTCTATTTGGAAATTTTTCTAAAGTGTAAAATTTGAAATAAATAATTTTCAAATTGTTGACCCTTTGGTGGTGTGATGTCAGATTACTCCCAGCGGATGTATAAGCGGACTCTCATTCTGATATTATCGCTCAAATTTTTGCCTTTAAGGTACATTTAAATTAAGAAAAAATAGCCGGATATTTTAAAATTAAATACGTTGGATTATGAATCCCATTTACGAATTTAATGGTTTTGCAATTGAAGTTTTTTTTCTACGGAAAAGGCAGTTGTATTCTGTCGTCCATTTTAGGGGAAGATTTGAAACCCAGTAGTTTTGGAGATGAGACCATTTCAGTTTAAAAATCTATAAGTCAAATTTTTATAGTTCGAATTATGAAATCAAAATCGTTGTTGGATTCCCCTCAACAGCGATGTCTTTTTTCCGGTTTCAATAATTTCGCTGTTTTTTTACATATATTTTATTTAGAGGCAAATTCACGTTCACTGATCTTTTTGAAGCACCGGATGTGCGTTTCACCTTAGTTTCTTTTTGAAGGATGATATTATTTTTTCTAGGTTTCTTTTTCGAGTGTGTTTGAATAAGATTGTCTTAGATCTGCTCTCGATGCGGAAGTGAAAAAGCAGTATGAATTTCGGGACCGAGTGCTGAATATGCACAATGAGCTGGTGGAACTACGCAGGTGAGCTACATTTTAATAATTTTGCCAAATGCATCCAAATTATTGCGTCCTTTTGTAATTCGTTTGAAGTTGTAGCTACGTAGAGAGGGATGAGAAGAGTTTTGGGATGTATTTCATCAAAGCATTATCGGACTTGATCGAAAGTGAATACTCAACGGTAAGTGCAGAACTTTTGAATGTATTATATTCAATTTTTCCTTCACCAAAAATAATTTGAGGTATTCGTTATCAGAGTATCGAATATGAGCAGAAAGATTCCCATGCAAAATCTAATGAAGAACAAAAACTGGTCTTGGAACACAAACGCCTAAATGCAGTGGGAAGAAATCAACTTGTGAAGGATGCTAAGAGGGCTATAAAGAAACTAGCTGCATCTGGCAACCAGAGAAACACTGCACTGGCCACGAGTGAAGATGAAAAGACGTGGGAACCAAGAGGGGCAGTGTTGTTGATCAAGGGAGAAGCTGGCATTGGGAAGACTACGTTTATGGTAAGTACAGGTTTATGCGAGTTTTTGATTGAGCAGCCCTGATTTAAGACTCAAGTACGAATTGGTTCGTAGGAAGGTAGTATCGTGTTCGTTCCGATTATTACATTAGCATCAGCTTAGTGTACTATTAAGACCCTTCTTTTTTCTAACCTAAGTCGCAAATATTGGTGCCTTTTTTCGAGCTCCTTTACAGTTTTTTGATAGTATCTGCTTTGACATTCGAACAGTAATAAGTTAACACAGTTGATGCATTTTCAAATCATCAAATGAACCGAAAAAAGCTATTAATTTCAAACAACATAACAAAAACTCGATTTCAGAAATTTTCTTTCTCACTATATCTAGCAATTTCTTAAAATGCAAAATTTATACATAATGTGACTTTATGCTTACCAATTTGTATACACAGGCAAATCTAGTGTGATAGTATGAACTCTCTTTTTCCAACCTAAGGATATTAGCACAGACTATTATATTACAAATTGGCTTGCGTCATTTAGCAATTATATCTGTGCGTCACAGAAGAAATTTTGTAGACTCAAAGACTTACTCATTCGTTTTTTTCCAAGTAGTGTTATCGGTCATCTTTTTTCAGTTGAAAGGAAGACACTTTAGAACGGCAAACAAATAAAGTTGAATTAAAGTTTGGTTCTTCGAGGTCTGTACTCTAGGGTTTTCCAAACTATATGTTATACAGGCTTTCCTCTTTTCAACTAAACTTTTCGAACGGTTTTTGATTAGGCAGTAATGAACAACGAACTGTACTTATTTATATTTTAAGCGAACCACATGTTTTTTGTACTGATAGATGGGGCGCATTTTGTAATCAGGTTTATATCAATTTTTTATGCAAGCGAGCGTAGTGTTATATTACGAGTTTTTTTTCGAACGCAAATACATCGGAAATTTGGTCGTGATGATTATATAGGTCGTGATGATTGTTAGTTTGTTCAGGAAAAGCCTCTAATTTGATTTTTCGCGGTTGGAAATTCAAATATCTTTGAGAGCATCTGTTTTTGTTCATTTATTTCGATTTTCAAAGAAAATGGAAAATATTTTTGCTTGGTGTGGTTTTTTTATTCAGTCGATTTGCGCCTGAAATTTTTATACCCCATTGAAGATATCTTGAAGACTTTCTTAGTTCAAAACTAAAAAGATATTTTACTTAGATTTTTTTTGTAAAGTTTTGGGGGTTTAAAAATTGTCAGATTGGCCTTGTTCTGGACTAAATTATGCGCGCTTTGAAGAATTTGTTCACATTGCTGATAGCGTAACGCGAATTTTTAATGCGTGACAATTTATCCCGCACAACAAAATCGATCCAAAGTGAATTGAGGGTAGCTAATGAGATCGGTCGTATTATTTTTGTACGACTCAACATTTCACACTTTGATATTGTCCAAAATTTGTAGGTTTTCAGTATATTCTTTTCCCAAAAACTTTTCGATATGAATTAAGAAGGGGTAGTCGGAACATTCAGGGTTTTGACCTGATATACGAGGCGTCTTGTTTTCTCGGAAATTTGAAAGTTTAAACTAAAAAAAAACAAGTTATTGTTTCTGTTTACTTTTTTTTACCCCATTGAAGATATCTTGAAGACTTCCTCAGTTCAAAAGTAAAAAGATATTTTACTTCCGATTATTTTTTGTAAAGTTGTGGGGGTTTAAAAAGTCAAATTGGCCATGTTGTGGACTAATTTATGCGCGCTTTGAAGAATTTATTCATATCGCTGATAGCGTAACGCGAATTGTTCAGTTATTCCCAAAGACTTTTTCGGTCAATGTTTGGCATTATCGGTCAATGTTTGCTTGTGTATGCGAAGTGCAACTTCGCCTCTGTGTACATTACATGCAAAGTTAGTGTGGATTTGAGCGTCTGATAAATTTATTAAATTTAGTGGCCAGAATTTAAAGATCTGGGTAAAATATTTACAAAATAAAACTTTTGAGCCGACAAGTTCTATTAAGTCATGAGAATCAGTTTTAATGATCAAGCATTAATTGAATTGTCAATGACGAATCAGCTGTAACTGCTTCAAAATGTTTTCACGGTCGTATCGTTGACGTTTGGCACACTGATGCTGGAGATACATATTAATTGTTTGGTCCGCCCCATTGCAGGTTCTTCTTGTTCGTCGATTCCTTTTTGTTCACATTGCTTGGTTTTATCTTTGATTTTTACTTTCTCCTATTCAGAGATTGTGATGGCGCTGTTATTGTAGACGTTGAAGATGCTGTTGTTGTTATTATAGTCAATTTTAAATGCTGCACTTTTATAAAATTCTTGTCAGCAATTTAAATTTTGCCGAAGATTTTCGTTTGCATTTGAAAGTGTTCGCGTTTTTTTTTCTACTGAAAACCTTAAGCAATCAATTGTACTTTTCACAGAGCACTAGTTGATGGATTTATAATTGGTTACTTTTTCCCATTGAGAATTTTACATCTCATACTGGTGCTCTACCCTTAAAGAAAGCAATATTGCAAGAGGTTTGTAACCAGAATGTTCGTTGCACTGGTATTTCCTCAAAATCTAGACGAATTGGAATATCTAATTGTAAAAAGTGGCTGAACTGGAATATCTAGCTGAAAATAATATTTTCATCTAACTGAAAGGTAATATTTGCCGTTTTTTTTTGTTTTTTCATTTCACGACTTTAAGTATTGAAAGTATTATTATCCTTGTTTTCTAATGTTTGGTAGTTTTCGCTGATTGAGTATGCTGATTGGAGAACGAGAAGCGTTTCTGTGATTGTTAGGAATGGCAATTGGAACTCGACTGTAACCTGTTTTGACGGTAAGTCGCTGTCGTCCTGCCATTCGCACTCTTTTGAGAATCGGTTTCGCGAGTTTAAGTGGTCGGAACAACATTTCTTTCGTAAGCTCATCAAACGTTTGTTTTGATATCAAGCATGCACAAGCGCCTGTATCTGTGAGGGCTCTTCGCTAGGCTTGAACCAAAGCGTGTTTGGGTAAGTTAAGACTACCCACTGCTGGAATTAATGCATAAAGGTCGATTATTTCATCTTGAAATTTAGTAAATAAAAGTCATTTGCTTGGCTTAGATGATTTGGCTTGGTTGTTCTGTTGCATTTGGGTAGTACTGCGGTTTTTGAGGATATTGTTGCGTTTGGGGGTACTGTTGCTTTTGACTTTTGGATCGAAATCTCTAAGTGAAGTTTGGCTTCTTGGTTATAATCTTTGATAATTGTATCCACCCATGAACCGTGGTTGCCAATTATTCTTGCATTCTTCAACTCTATCTTCTCGAGCTGGTCTGAACCAGGTGTTTTGGTTTGGATGTTAAATTGCTGATAACTTTTTCCAATTTGTGGAAGGGATTACTTGAAGTAGCGTTATGTTGCTGACTGCATATTCCCGTGATTTTGCGGTGCTGGCGATGGTTCATATGAGGTCTTCTTATGTTCTTCCAAAATCTGAGTTCTTTCTTCTTTCAGCTGTTCTTCATTCTAATACTGAGTATTGGTCAGCGTAGTAAATTTTCTGAGATCTTCGTACTAATTACGTCGAAACCATCTACTGGGTAGTCCTCGTTGCGGCAAATCTCGAGGATGGTAATTTTTTCTCGTGCAAGGCTACGAAGTTCTCTACCGTAGTTTTTGGTTACTGTTCCGTCAGTCGCCAAAAAAATTTTCCCGTGCAAGGCTACAAAGTTCTTGCACCGTAGTTTTAGCTTTGGTCACTGTTCCTATATCGAAGCCAAACTGCAATTCTTTAAAAAAAAAATAACCGTTTAATTTGGTCATTGCTATTGTCGTTTACTGCGTCGAGCCTTTCCTGTCTTTGCTCGGTTTCTCTATTGAAGCGCGCTGCCTTTTGTCGCATCTGCTGCTGCTGTTGTATCTATTGGCTTTTTTGACTGGTAGAGGAGTTGTTAGATAAGTTCGGTGAGCCTTTTCTGTCAAATGAACCAGATAGTTTTCTGGTGTATTCTTTTTCAGGCCGAACGGTAGCTGTTCGAATTTAAAGACGTGAGCGTCATGTAGACGAGGTTCGCAAATATAGTCCCTTTAAGCTGTCAAGCTTGCAGATACGTTCACTCGTGTAGCTGTTCCTAGCTTCTGATGAAACATCAACTAGTCTTTTCGCAATTGTAACTGGAGAAAGTTCGCTTGTCGTCCGGAGTGGATCCCTGCTACGCGGACACTCCCTTGGAACATTTGTTCGAAATGTGAAAAGTCTTCTTTTTCTGTTGCTTCGATCGGCGCTTTGAGATTAAGGCCTAAGTCAGTTTATTGCAAATAGAAGTCTTTCAGTTTGTTGCCATTTTTGATTTCAGCTAGGAATAGGAAAAGCCCCAATTTAAAGTCAAGAAACTTTTTCTAATTAGTTTCTGTAATTTTGCTTGGAATCTTAGTGGCCTTTTGACGCTAAAGTCTCAAGTGTTACGTACTTGAATAGTTTAAATATGGTATTTTTTTTCTACTTTTGAATCGGTGTTCCACGGCCCTAATTTTTTTCTACTCATTTGTTTTGGTAAATCTGCTGCCAATTGGTTGGTTTGGCTTTCCTGGACTGAGCACCTATTAGTTTCCTGGGATAATCAATTTACTGCGCGGAAAGTTTTGGATTGAGTAACTGTTTTTTGAAGTTTTTGTGTATTCTTCAAGTGAAGTTGGAAAATGAAGTTTGCCATCCGATCAACACCAACACCTAGTCCGTCTCCCATAGACTGTTGTTCTCACAGTTGTTCTTATCTGTCTACCTATGGTCACTGCCTGCAACGCTGCTAGAACTAGTGAACTTGTCTCAGTTGATCGTACCAGTTGTCATCGGGTTGTTGTTGTGTTAGTAGTTGTCGTCTTTAGCCTTTAATCTCATTTCATCAATGTCTCTAAATCCATTGGTACCATCTTCCACGTCCGTCACGATATTCCCTCAATGGCCTAATGTCATTTGCTTATGGCTTTTCCTTTAGATATCTTTTTCTGCATGAATTATTGTGCGGTTGGGCGAATCTTTCACTGAGGGATGCTTGAGTTA